CTGAGGATCCCCATGTGGCCGTTTGGGCCAGGCAGTTTTGGGACTTCGCGCATAGACGGCTCATGCTGCCGCATGGGCCGGGCAGTTTTTTGGACCTCGCGCATAGACTGCTTAGGCGGCCGCATGGGCTGGGCAGTTTTTTGGATCTCGCGCATCAATTGCTTAAGGTTACTAACGGTTCCGATATTCTTCTCCCCTGCTTGGAGCCGGTAAAGACCGACAGCCGACAGCTATAGGCTGGAGGGGCCAGTAACATCCCACACAAGCTGCTTACGAGGCCGGATGTGGCCAGCAATTTTGGACACTCGCTGTGCTTAGGCTGGATGTGGCCAGAAGTCTCTTGTGAGAAGAGCTCTAATACTACCCGTCTTCACTGTGGTTACGGCCGGATGTGGCTCGCAGTTGTGATTACTTTGGCAGTCGACAGTGACGCACCCCACCCCCGCAAAGGGTACATACTCAAGTGACTGCGGTAGGGTAAAATGGCTACAAGACCCATTAAATCGGTCTGTAGTGCCCTACTGTGTGGGCAGGCTTAAATCACCTTTGGTGCTAAAGCTGCGCGGGTATGCAGAAACCCAATTTCCTTCCTTGCCCCCACTTCACATCAGCTACCCAACCATCCAACATGAGTGCCCACTCCGGCCAAGCACAAGAAGACAGCGCACTGGTTCCATACTCCCGCATCATCACACCAGTTTTCCCCGATACATCCCGACTTCGCCTTCGTGCTTTGCGTACCTTACCGCCGCGTCTCCAGATCTTAACACACTACATATACAAGATCTTCCTGGGTGCCCAGCGAACAGGACATGGCTACTAATTCATTGCCATTCAAGGGAACCTGTTCATGCGCGTTTGCAGACACACGTTCGTCTACTAAACGATCTTGTCCCGCTATTCAATGAAAGAAGAGGCTCACTTAAGAAGGATTGGCCCCTTTTCCCGTCTCCTGACCGGCGGCCTGCAACAACCAGCGCGCCCGGCCGCACATCGGCGGGGGTTGTGCCAAAGTCATACAGCTTCGACCACTGTGGTCGTCACCAGACAGTGCTTCTTCGTCGGGCGCGATCTTATGTACGCAGCAATGGCTCAACACCATCGCAATCGGCAACAAGACCAAGTCTACGGTTACTCTTTGGCTCAAAATATAGCGATCCCTCAGCAGCACTGATTATAACAGCGCGTCAAACGCAAGTTTATCCTACGGATGCCGGACCAGCCTCGAGCCGGCCGACACAAGTGCCCCATAAGAGGCGTGACACAGCAAGCCAGTGCCCGCAACCAAGGTGTCCGCATTTCCCCGGAGAGAACACCGGTACCGACAGGCCCTGAACAAGTGCACACCCGGCGCGTGGGTGACATGAGAGTTGTAAGGAGGGCCGGGACGAGTTTGCAGCGTGCGGACAAACCTAAGTCCAACCAGCCATCACAGATGAGGGCCCGGTTGAAAGCCAAAACAGCATGTTGGAAGTTATTTATGCAGTCCCGCCTGGTCATGGCCTGGGTACTGTTCGGTTTCCGCTGTTGTGCGAAGCACCCTACAGCCTGACCAACCGTCGGCCTAACAGCAGACTGAATTTTGCGATCACCGAACTGGTCGCAACTGGGCGGGACCACGAGTCGACTGCCAACTGCGCTGCGTATTGCCCCTCGGTTTTGTTCCTAAAGAAGGCCACTCCCAAATTCCGCCTAATTTCTGATGCACGTTATGTTATATTATCGAGCACCGTGTGGTGCCGAGCTACAGGTATAAGTCCCGTGGGATGCTTGTGTGAAGTGCCGCAACCACACGGCTATCTGCCCACCGTGTCTCAGAAGTCCGGCTATCACCACATTGATATGCACAAGGAAGCTCGGCAATTTTAGGCTTTGCACAGCAAGGGCGAATTTTCCCAGGTTGTGCAGTGCCCAGTAGGCTGGCACCAGCCTGTTGATGTTGTTACAGGGTGGTTAAGCTTCACCAGTGGCCTCCTTCCCGAGGCAATTCCCTGCTCTCCCCTGCTAGAGGGGCACCCTTAGCCATTCACCCCATCCGACTTCAGAGTGTACTCTTTGAGTTTGGCAACTCACCACCAGCATCCAACCAAATCTAGCGGATCAACGGCGCGTCAACTTAGTTCCTGGTCAGCTCGCGAGTTGATTTTATCACGTCCTACACCGTCCATATGATGGGGGGCCACCTCCCATTTCATCACCCCGAGAGATCGGCAGGCGGATTTGAACCCGGACGCGCCGGAACACGTCGGGAGCAGAAGCCAGGCCTTAACCTCTGCCAGCCGCCTGCCTGTTGGTTTTTTTATTTCGCACACCAGGGTGCGGGCGCCCTACCAGCGGTGAGAGCGGGTTCTCACCGACTTGGTTAACGTGGGATCATCAACTAGTAACCAGGAATGCCCTTTCGAACCTGAGCAGTGGACGGAGTACTTGGGGGCGGGTTGACACCATCAACGGCTCAATTCGTACCAAAAGGATGAGACTCGCAGTGCAGAGGATGGTTGAACCTGCGCAGCGTTCAACAGCTGTACTCCCTACTGGGTGCATGAGATCGAGGACCTTTCGGGCATGTCGCTATCGCTGCCCCAATGTGGTCCACAGTTTTACCGGTCCAGGTCTAGTCCTACCGCCAGCCATGACCTGTCGGAGTCGCCAAATATTGCACGCTTCTTTGCAGTCTAGGGTGGGTTAAACTCTTTTGGCAACCTACCCACGCGCACCCATTCGCCATCCACACAGATGCTGTTCCGAGTTTTCGTATGGCGGCTGGGTCGGTTGGGTCCTTGAGGACGGTGCCCTTGCTGTGGGCTGATGGGTATCGGAACTGGAGGGTCCATCTCAGACTCCTGGAACTGTCGGCGATGTTTAATGTGTTACCGGGCCTCATTCGGCAGGGGTGCTTGGACGCCCAGCGGGTGCTGGTGACAATAAAAGCCAACCTGCTAAAGACTTGACGATCCAAAGGTGGACCCCTTGTGGCCACTGTGGCACACGACGTGTGTGCACCACTGCTCTGGTAATAGGGCTTGGATCTCAGTGGATTGTTTCCCTCTTGAGTGCCACCAGTTCGCGGACGCACCCTTCAAGGGGCATGGCACTTTCGTTTGGCTGCTAAACCCTGCTTTGTTTGCACAACTGGCCAGACCGTGGGGTCACGAGGATAATTTGCAGTTGCCTTAGTCACATCGACAGCCGTCACCTAATGCTCCCCCTTACAATTTCACCAGATACTGACATGCGACAGGGTGCGAATGTCGCTGGGTGGTGTTTCCGCCTTCGCAATCATCGGACAAGCCCTGATGCATGCAACCGCCACCATGCACGGCTTTGGTTCACCATGTCTCTCGGGCCTCACGCAACCTGGTGGCCCAAATCCATAAAATCCATAATAATGCAGATGCATCTATATAGTCATCATATCATCGTAATAATTACAGTAGTAGTAGTAGTGATAGCTTAGTCTTGGCTGCAGCTTTACCGTTCGTCCAAGCTAGTCTGTGTTACTGAAAGAGGGCATAGTCCGTCCACTCGGGGTCACCCAAGGGGTATCCACCCGCCAAGATGGTACACGGTTGCATTCCCAGTGGACTTTGCCGACGGCGCCAACTTTGTGCCAGTGCCACCCCTGAAATGCAGACCCTTATACACATATCGTGCCCCACTTGTAGTGGTCCGTGTGTGCTGCAAGCGGCACCGATGGACACAATATGGGTTGTGCGGCATCATCACCACCATACCTTCCCTCCGCTGGGTCGTGGCCAACTCGGATGGCATGCCGAGCTTGGAGCAGCATACCACGCCGCTCAACACAACCATCCCACCCAACCATACAGACTGCTCCGGGGCCCCTGTGGAGGCTCGTTGTGGAGGCAGGGCTGTCTCCGCGCTTTGGAACACACTCACTGCACTCTGAAGGTGTGACCGCTGCCGTTAACAACCGTGCGGATTGCAGCTTGGTGCAGAAGCTGGGTGCTGGAAGAGTGCGGAGGTTTCGAGAGCATAATGGTGAAGACAGCACCGCGGCTGGGGCATGGGTGATGACCCTCTTGACCTATACCGACCAGCGATCGTTGCACTTGTGGGTCCTTTCAAGACCTGTCATTACTATCGGCCACTAGTGCAACTTTCACAATGGGTTGGTGTTGGGAGGGGGTTTCGCAACGGGTTGTTTTGCTACGGAGTTGTGCTTGTGGTTGGCGGCTTAGCTACTGTAACGCACCACGGCAGGACTGAGCAATAAGCTTCGACTTCTCGAAGCGAAGTATGAGTGTAGAGATAGGCAAGTTATTGCGAAGGAACTGCCGTGGTGCGTGGAAGTAGGGCGCATGCATGCATGCATGTGCCGGACCGCAGTACGGCAGGGGACGCCGAGCTCCTACTTGGGTCCCACAGGCGCATTGGCTCTTTAACTGCCGTTGATTTGACTATTACCAAGAGGTGTGTCCCGCTGCTGGGACAGTGTCCTCTAGTTTCCCCCCACCCGCCCACGGGTCGGTATCGTACTAATTGTCCTTTAATATGGGTTTAAGATTGGAGTACCCGTACCGGTGCGTTCTCTCGTCAATTTTCTGTGCCTCGTCGTTCCCCCCACCCACCCAGGGCAACCGCGGGGGTTGCCACCAGGGTTGGACAGGACCTTCCTGAAATGGTCGGGTTGCCGGTTTTCCCCTTCCCATGCCCGTCGGGCCCACCCGATAGCGTTTTTGCATATCTTTTAATTTCTGTCGGGTGCCCCGATAGCCCATCCCAAAACCTGTCGGGTGACGCAAGAACGAAATTTCGCTGTGTGCCGCTTGAAATTACATTTATTCGTATTTTATATGCGCAGTTTCCAGTTCTCAGTTTGCAGTTCACAGTTCTGATATGCACGAACAAACACACACACACACAGCAAAACATGCACGCCTGCACGTCTGCCTGTGAGCATCAAGCTGTTTTGGTAAAGCCCACAGACTTACAGGACGAGGCAGCAAACGTTCGAAAGGGTAATGTAAAGCTGCATATGGTCTTTGTATTAATTGTCAATAAGGTCGAGATAAGGTAGTGTGCCCTTCGCTTATGTATCCAAGCATGGATCCCTGTACAGCAGAGTCAAAGGATAAAGAAGAAGAGGCAACGAAGTGAACGAATGCTACCACTACATTACATATTTCCATCCAGTTAAATTTTTATGAATGCCAGTATGTATCGCTGTAGCTGTCCGTCGCCGAAGGGCCCACCGACGACCCACGGCACCCGATCGGGTGGTCCTAGCGCCCCTAACCCTGTCGGGTCCCCCGACGGGAGCCCTCCGGGCCCCGACGGGGGCTCCCGATGGCCGTTTGGCATTTTCCCCCTTTTTCGTCGGGTCCGCCCGAAAGCATTTTTCAAAGCCTGTCGGGATTTTCAGCACAAGTGCCATTCCTGTCGGGACCCGATCGGACTGTCGCACCCTGGTTGCCACAATGCAGCGGTCCCTGGTTTGTCCTTGCTGGTTTCGGGTGGGTCGCCCGCGTGGCTCTTGTCGGGGCGCTTGAGGTTGCAGATTCGTTAACGGTGCAACACAGGTAACTGTCATTACTATCGGCCACTAGTGCAACTTTCACAATGGGTTGGTGTTGGGAGGGGGTTTCGCAACGGGTTGTTTTGCTACGGAGTTGTGCTTGCGGTTGGCGGCTTAGCTACTGTAACGCACCACGGCAGGACTGAGCAATAACCTGGATTCCCGATATGTGGCGGGTGCAGGTAGAGGCGACGCGGCTTGCATGTAGTAGCAATCTTCATGCAGCATTCTTAACACCCAAGCTAGCTTCACGCGCAAGTTTGCAAAGGCAACCTGCAAAACCTAGTTTCGGAACTCGCGACCAGCGTCCTGTCTACTCTCAACCACAATGCCTAAGCACAGCAGCACAATTGTGGCACAATTCTCGCAGGGCTTGACGAGACACTCCTAACGCCCTATGCGTCCAATGACACTCCTAACGGCCCCTTGCGCAAAACTTACAAGTGCGTGCATGCAGTAGCGGTTCACAGGATACGTACCTAGCTATGCTTAATTACGCGATTGCATACAACTGACCTTGGATGGCGGCTTTTAGAGCCAACTGTTGTCGAACAGTGAGGCCTGCTGCCTGTTCCGCATTCAGCAGTCGGAAAGCGCCGCCGACCTCGTCATCTACGTCAAAGCCTAAATCTGACAGGGCCGCAACAGTTGGCGAAATGGATCCGGCGTCCTCGCCCCCCACAGAAAGCAGGGCTTGCCGGATGGTCACCATGTCTTGGTAAACACTGACCCTGTGTGATAATTCAATTGTATTTGTAATGTCATGAAGTTAGTTGACGAGCTCTCGGAATACATGCGTGACCATGTGGTAGCTTCGGAGCTAGCGGACGAGGACTTGTGTACGACAAGTGAAGTTGTGGCGCGCTAGCCTGGCTATTTAAGCGGACTAATTTAGGAGCATTGAAAGTCTGAGATGAGATTGAAGATATCTGAGATGAGATATCGATACTCTGTGCAAACGCCAGTATCTCGGTTAGTAAAGTCAGCTTACGCTTCCCATTCCCCTTACAGTACTGGAGGCCACTGTAGTATTTCGGCCAGGCCTTACCCATGTCTTCACTGCGTTAAGTAAGCTGAGTTAGTTGGGCGTAAGGCCCAGTATATGTTTGTCTAACTGTTTCGCACGGCCCGTGTCCCCAGGGCTGTTTCCTCAGTTTCCTGATCTATCCGGGTTAACTTGTGGCTGGGCATTCCACCGACCTCAGTTTTTGGGTGTGTGTGGGAGGTTGTATGCCTCGCGGCCATCAGCTCACTCAATCTCGGTCGCCGTTTGTTGTTTAGGGAAGGTCTCCAGGCCAACATGACCGTATCTACGTCAACGCTTAACCGCATTACTGACGATGTTATGTTATCTCTGACTTTTGGGCCCGTTTAACTGCTTTTGCGGCACGGGATAACTTGCCAAAACGTTGGGAACACGTGCCTCACAACCACCCTTTCTTATATCTCAACGACGCAGGCAAGGTTGTTTAAGCTGCCCCTCGCACAAATGTGTCCGGTCGTACTGTGCCGAATAAAGTCTACGTACATGTCCCAAAAGTCAGGAGCGAATTTTACCGCGCAGATGCGCGCGTGCGATTCTCAAAATGCGCCTGTACAAGTGTATATAAATTTTCTTGGCGGAAAAGGACCAGGTGCGCCAGCGCGTTGCGCAGGTGGGCATGTTGGCCATAGCCGCACGCGGTCACATTTGTGCGAGGGGCTGCTTAATGAAATAGGGCTCAGGGTTTCTGTACCCTTGCTGCCTGCCCGTTCCTCTATTGCTCTCCTCCATAGCTAGTAGGGTCCTCATGCCTGAGGAAGGCACTCGGGAAGAGCGTCCAAGCTCGCGCCAGGTTTGCAGTCAAAATGTCCAGTGCCCGTGCGCCTTTTTTTAACAAAAAAACTGCAGATGCTTCATGATACCTTGGCGCGGTTTAGGAAGGGTGCCCTAGCGAATGAAACTCCGTCTGGGAGGAAATCCGACGACGAACTTGTTTAGGAAAATCGTTGTGAACGGAAGCAGCTGCCCGCCGTCGGCTCGTGGTCATCGTCATCGTCGTTGTTGCGTATCCACTTGACGAGGCTTAGCTGGGGCACCCAGCTGGGACGTTAGGGAACAGGGTCCCTGGCGGGGTACAGCGTGCTTGATATGGATAATCAAGAGCCCCACGAGCGCGGACGTCACTGAGACGGTGTTTTGCCGTGCTGTGGGAGGGCCTTGCGTGTTGGTTGGGTTTTATGTGGTTGCCTGGGGGGGAGCTCGGTTACTGTTCTTCCAGGCACACACACAGAAACATAGGTGTGTGCGCGCGCGTGCATACATGCATGCACACACATTGCCAGGCTTTTTGTTGCGACAGGGTTATAATAATAATAATAATAATAATAATAATAATAATAATAATAATAATAATAATAATAATAATAATAATAATAATAATAATAATAATAATAATAATAAATAATAATAATAATAATAATAATAATAATAATAGTAATAATAGTATTTCTCCTGCGTTTTGTTTGCGATATCTGTTGCTATTTCGGACAGGCTTCGGATCATGGGCTCCATCCCCTTATCTAGGTTCCATGTATGTATGTATGTATGGGGCCCCCGTGATGATAACCTTGGAGCAATAGGGGAAAACGAGTCAACTCCAGGAGGTGGTGTAACCCACACGCGCGCACACACACACACACACACACGCACACACGCTTAAGTTGCCAAGCCGCTGTCGCTAACAGACATAAGAAATGTATCCTATGGCTATGTGTGCTCGTTTCGTGCCGGCATTCAGTCGGGTCATTTTCATGCGGGTTTTGACCGCCCGGGGGGCTCTTCTAATCATTTTGGTGTGCGTGATTGTCGTGCGATGGTCGCCGTACCGCAGTGTACGGACTATGCGTTAAAGTTACTGTGTATGGATGCTCGTACTTCCACTTGGTGTTGGCAGCAGGCCATCGTGATTTTTGATGGTAGTTATGATGAGATGTATACTACAGCGACGGGCGCGTTTCTGCTGTCGCCTCTCCTGTGTTGGCGTGATATGTTGGGTATTACGACGTATTGTTGGCTATTACGACGGTGATACGGAGCTACAGCTACAATTGCGACTGTTGCCGCGTCATCGCCGCCGCCGCCGTCGGCAGTTGCTGCTGCTGCTGCTGCTGCTGCTGCTGCTGTTTGTCGAGTGGCGGCGGCATCGCCTCCACGACGATGCTAGATGCGCCGCCGCCGCCGTTGCAAATGGCGGCGCAGCCCCTCCTACCCCCCCTGGAGTGCAGCACGTTGAGCAAAGTCACTAGGATGCGCGCACCGCTCGCGCCGATAGGATGCCCTAGAGCCACACTCCCGCCGAAGACGTTGACTCTGAAAGGCCGTGTGGAAGAGAAATTTGGGTTTAGAAGGCGCTATGGGTTTTACTTTATTCAAAATATTAATTAAATCAGGTTTTAATACTGGTTATTTCGGGATGTTGGCCTTGCCGATTGCAGTGTAACTTTAAAATGTACCTAAAACCCCAAAACCTTAAGTTAAAACCGCCCTAAAACCGTAACGTAAATTCAGAACCATCCAAGGGACACACGCACCGCTCGGCCGGTAGCCCCAGCAACTGCCGGTTGACCAGGTCAACGACGCTGAACGCCTCGTTGACTTCCCAATAGTCCACGTCAGATGCTGACGTCAGCCCCGCGTGTCTGAGCGCGCGTGGTACTGCTAGCGCCGGTGCTGTCGTAAATCACTCTGGCGCTTGCGCTGCGTCAGCAAAGCCCCGTACCGCCGCCAGCAATGGCAAGCCCAGACGCTGTACGGCGAATCGATGCATCGACGCGACCCATTTTCACCGCGGGGGAAAGGAAAACGTGTGAGTTATAAACACAATGCCGTGCGCACACATTGCTTGGCAAAAAGGTGCGAGAGGAAAAGTGAGCCCTGCAGGACAGTACGACAGAAAGTTCGTACCTGTACGGCTTCATAACTCGCTATCACCGATGCCGCCGCCCCGTCGGTCATAGGCGACGCGTTGCCTGCTGTGACCGTTCCGCCGTCACGACGAAAGTACGGCTTGAGCGCCGTCAGCCGTACAGGGTCCATCTTCGAAAGACTTTCATCCTCCCAGATGTACGACCCTGCTGTGGCGGCGGGACCCGCTGCTGAAGCCGCCGCCGCAGCTGCGGCGGCGGCCACCGTGCCGTACAACGACGGCGGAGTTCCACCGCCGCCGCTACCACTGCTGCCGCTCGCGCCGACGCCGCCAGGAATACCGATCGTCGCGCTGCGTGACGCTGGTCCCTCCGCGCCGCTACTGCTACCGCTACTGCCGGCTGCAGCCCCGGCGCCAGCCACGTTTGGCGACACATTCGCACGTCCGCCGCCTCCGCCAGGCCGCGGCACGGGTATACAATTGCGAAGCATTATTTGCTTTCGGCTTCGGTTTGCATTCGGTGATGTGTACGACAGTGATGACGGTGAAATACGATAAATGCATTGCGGATGATAGTAATAGCGATGGATGACGGAGACGATGTTGTTGATGATGATGATGATGGTATTGGTGGTGGTGCTGGTGGTCATGATGATGATGGTGGTGGTGGTGATGCTAAAGGAATGGAAAGAGCATCTGCAGCGTGTACGTCGTACACGGCCATGTGGATGATGTGGCGACGTGCGCGCGTGCGGCTGTCACCCGGCCGACCGCCGTGGGTCCGTGTCGGGACGGGGGGGGGTAGAAAACACGTCGCAGTCGGCATGGTTCGTGCGTGGGTAATGGCGACCGTGGTGTCGAGCATCAAAGCCAACGCCCGTTAGGCGACCAATCGGATCTTTAGATGGCAGTTATTAGAACGGGGAAAGGGGGGGGACACCGGCCCAAATGAACGAAGAGTGAGCACATCTTTTGGATACCGTGTCTTATATTGTGTTTTATTACGTTTTCCCCCTTCCCCCCGGGGCTTTCCCCTCCCCTCCCCTCCCCTCCCCCCCAAGGGGACCCGCGGCCGTTATGTACTGGCGGCGATGTGCATTTCTGCATGTCAATCAGTCAGCTGATGTCGTTAAGTCATTAAGTCACAATCGCATCTTCCTTCCCGTTTCCGCCTCCTCCTCTCTTCCTCTTGTTGTGAGCGCCTGATGAACTCGTCAGGATAACAGAGGGGATTGTACGGAGCCGTACGGGATTGTCCGGGACCGTTGGTTTAATTGTCGTGGGTTCTGGGGAGGACGGGAAAGAGCTCTGTGTTTGCTGTGACACGCTCCTAGTCCAGGAGCAATCTGCGGTTGGGGGTTTTCGGGGGCTGGCTAGGTACACGGTTTTGTCGTACCGGACTAGGCACGTGGGGTATGCGCGGTGCATGTGTGTGTGTGTTGTTGTTGCGTTTGCGTTTCCTCCCTGGGAATGAGGGTCCGTTCGGTACTAACAGTCGGGGCTATCTGTGAATCACACACGTGATTTTTGATTTGGGTTTTAGGGTTTTGGAGATTCCTTTCCCCCCCCCCTCTCTCTCCCTCTCTGTCTCCCTGTCTTTCTCGTTGTCGTTGTCGTTCGGTCTCTTCTCGTTCGGTCTCTCTGGAGCGCAGCAACACTGCGCCACAGGGCCTCCGGATGGAGCTGAAACCACATCAAGCCTCTGTGCGAACGCGCCCTTGGCGATGATTTCCTTCCGCTTCAGAGCTGCTTGACTTTCAAACTGGATCGTTAATGAAGACAGTACGGAAAAAAAGATGCCGCCTTTCCTCGCTTCTCTTCCTTTTCCTGCTGTTTGATGATAAACAACGTGATGAGATGCCGTGTGGTTATGTAAAAGCCAGCGATTTCTTAATATACGGCTACCCCGAGAGTGAAAGGCTGGAGGTAGTTAATCCTATAATTGGATCGGATTTGGATTTTAAAAAGCCCATCGGGTTCCAACGGTTGGGTCTTCCTCCAAAATCTCCTCCATTTATTTTTGAAAATGATCTTTTGCAGCCCCAGCGTTTTGAGGTTGCTCAGGTGGAGATTGTTAAGCAGCCCCTCGCACAAATGTGTCCGGTCGTACTTCGCGAATAAACAGTTCGTACATCGTCCCAAAAGAGTCAGGAGCGAATTTTGCCGCGCAGATGCGCGCGTGCGATTCGCAAAATGCGCCTGTACAAGTGTATATAAATTTTCTTGGCGGAAAAGGACCAGGTGCGCCAGCGCGTTGCGCAGGTGGGCATGTTGGCCATAGCCGCACGCGGCATGCAGGCTGGACTATTGCGTGGATGCTTTGCAGTACCTAAAAGCACCGAAAGCCAACGTCGTAGCTTGCAACTCTGGGCTCGTGAAACTGCCGCGGAAGATGAAGCGCTGGCGAAGAGGCAGTTGTATGCAGCACCTTGTTCAGAGTAAAGTCAAATTACAAAGTTGCGCAAAGTATAACAACATAACT